CTCAGCCTCCCAAGGGCACGGGATTACAGGCTGAGCCACCGAGCCCGGCTACTTTCTAATTCTATACGAGGCACTTGATAGCCTTGAGCAATCTGAGTAGAGGCTGTATCAATCTGTGGATTCCAGCTGGGAGCGGAATGCTGCTGCCTGTTTTGGGGCCTTGGGTCACTGAAGCTTAAAGTGTGAAAGTATTAGGATTTGATTTAAAAGAGCCAAGGAAGCAGTGATGCGTGCATGGGGCAGCATTGCCATTTTAATAGAGAGTGTAATATTAGAACAAATGTCATGAATGGCATTGCACAAGGACATAGAATTTGGAGATCTGTTTCCATATACATTGTTATGTATATAACATAATCATAAATGTCGGACGTAGTTCACATAACCATAGCATCAGCATGGTACTGAGTGGTTGAACTGGCACAAAGAGTGTAATGCCAACCTTGAATTGATGTTGCTTGGGTTAAACCCCAGGTTTTTATGCTGACTGATTTTATTTTGGACAAGTGACCTAATAATCTCTCAGCCTCAGTTTCCTCATCATGGCATACAGATACCTACCTCCTAGAGTAGTCAAAAAGAGCAAATGGAATGACAAGATGCTCGGTGAAGAGTACCTAGCATAGTATCTGATATATAAAAATGGTTGACATTAGCTGGGCGTGGTGGCGCATGCCTGTAGTCCCAGCTACTTGGAAGACTGAGACGGAAGCATTGTCTGAGTCCAGTGGGTCGAGGCTACATTGGTCGTGAGTGTGCCGCTGTACTCTAGCCTGGGGGACAGAGTGAGACTTGACTCAAAAAAAAAATGGTTGACATTTATTGGATATTTACTAAATTCCAGTGGCTGTTCCTAGTTTTCCCTTATGAAATATGTACTATTAGCCTCTTACACATCTTGATATCACCTGTACCTAATGATATACTTTTTCCCCCCTTAAGTCATTCATCCTTCCAGTAGATGACAGTGTTTCTTAGAAACCATTTCTGGACTAATCCAGATTTTTAACTTGAGCCTGGACTTGTGTGTGTTCAACTTTCACCTTGAGATTCAGTCTCAGGCTTAGCGTGTGTTTTCCTTCTGGCTTCTGGGTGAATATCAACGTTGCTTAAAGAGACCTGCTGCATGCAGAGCATAGTCACCACCTTGGCAAAGGTCAGATTGTATTTCAGGTCTGTGCTTAACATCCTAGTTTCTGTGGGCCTTCTCAGTTTTTATCTTTGAATGTCAGTTTGTTCTTTCATTAGGGAGTAATGCTCTTTGTTTTGAAATTATTCATTACCTTTTAGAGTCTTTTGGCTATGAACAAAAAGCCACATTGTTCCTAGGCTCATTTAAAAAAATCTCAGTTGCTCACTATTTTTCAAGATTGTTTTCACAGGATATTTCAGCTCTCTGAAGATGTTAATTCTGTTTTGATTCTCTTTATAATCAGATTTGCTTTTGAAACACTCTTGAGTCCTATTGAAACTGTCTGCCGGGTTGTGTCTTTCCCTGAGGATGGCGAGGCAATCTTTTTCTTGGCAAACACATTGTCATTCCACCCCCTCCCATCCCCATCCTGGAACCTTGGGAGGCATCAATTCCTTCCTTTCTTCCGTCATCTTGTCTCAAGAGACTCAGCTGGATGACTTCGCCGTATTTTCTTCTTCCCTCACTATTTATACCACAAGGAAGATTTTGTATCTGGTGGTTGTGTGATGAAGGATAATCAACAGAGATAAGATTGTGACAGTTTAATTTTCTGGTACATTTGTCAACTTTTCAGCTTTATTTTAGTGCTGTCTTTTTCTGGACTGGTACCAAGAAATTATTAGATATGCAAGAGCTGAAATTACCAATTGTATGAACTAAAAACAAAACCTACTCACAAACACAACAGAGCATCAGGGCTCTATGGCCATGGGGTCTCAATGACTTGTAGAGAGCAAGAGTTGGATTCAATCTATGTGAAAAATTCCCACTGGGGTTTTCTAACCATCCTTTTTCTGGCTTTTGAAAATATTTTTATTCATGGCCTTAGAATCCTATGAAACAAGGAGCTAGCTTTGAGAGTTTCAGTCAAAATAAGCTTGTTATAGCCAAGTAACTCCTTCAAATCTAGATGAGGCAAAGGCCTCTCACAGTTATATGATGGCCTAAGGGAAATGAGCCAGGAGTTTTCTCTAGGAGGCGTCGACAAGGGTCTGTGACAGGGAAACATTCATTGCAGTCAGCAGTCTGGTTGGCAGCTATGGCCCATGGGCTGAAGATTGAATTGCCTCTAAGGCAAGTCCTGACTAGTTTCTCATCTTAAAGGATGACTGGGCATCCCAACAGAGTAAGATGTGGTTCAATGTGGCTGTATCTCTGTGAGTAAAATACCAACGTGGTTTAGCCTCCAGCGTGCCCTGCTCCAATCAATTCTCTTCACTATAGCTGGAGTGATATTTTCAAAAACAGAAATTGGACTGTACTACTACCCTGATTAAAGGCTAAGCTCCTTCACATGGTCTATAAGGCCCAGCTGAATCTGGCCCATGCTTATTTTTCCAGGTTCATTTCAAATGGGCAAAGCCTCTTCTCATAACTGAGTCACCCTGAAAATTCTTCTGTCTCTGGCAGATTATTCCTCTTCCCTTTGCCTTTTTCACTTCTATTTCATATTGCAGATGAAGCATCACTTCCATATAGAATCCTTTTTTGACCCTCTCAGAGTAGGTCAAATTCCTTGTTGAAAGGTCTCACATCCTTGGTTGAATTTATTACACATTTCACTCAATGTCTTGCCAGTCTGTGAGGTCCAGGTGGCATTTTGTTCATCAGCCTGCCTGAGGGCTTATTAGAAGGCTAACTAATGTTCTTTGAACATACACGGCTAAGTGATTCTCTCCCTTTCTAACTCCACAGAGACAAAAACTTTAGCCTCTATAGTCTTACTTGTTTCCCCACATTTTTTCTCTAAATGATGAAATCCTATTCATCTTTCAAGAGGAAGCTTAATAATATCCTTCTCTGAGATGCCTTTTATAGTCATTCTCTGTAGTAGTCAGGGGGCTCCAGAACTTAAATCAACAAAGGCGTATTTCTAGCTCTTGGAACATTTTCATCATGCTTGTCTGGTGGTTTACTCCTCACTCAGGAACCCAGGCTGAAGGAATCTCCAGCTCTGTGTTTCCAAGATTTCCAAGGTCATACAATACTATTCAGATTTCATGTTCCATCATGAAATGGATTTAAGCCATGCTTAAATTCAATGGTGCTATGTGCCCAGAAGGAGGTGAATTGGTGATATTCTATGAACACCACCAATGTCTACCAGCCACCTCAAAAACCTGGCTTCACTTGGTATTTCCAACCCTCACTTTCAGTGATCTATTTCTTCACCCTTATAGTCATACCAAAGACTTTATGGTCAGCAATAATTAAATCACTTCTGAAATCTTAATGCCACCACACTACTCTATGACTCCTCCTACTTTTTCAGCTTATGCATTCCAGTGCCCTTGCTGTAATAATTTCTTGCCTCCATTGGGATTCTTTCTGCAGGTTGAGTTCCCTAGAAGGCAACCTCTGAGATGGAAACTGGTATAAGGAAGTTGTTGATTGCCTGAGTTATTTCACTAATTTCTGGTGGTTTGTTCTTATTTCATAGTTAGGAAAGTCTTGCTAACTGTGGGTCTCCTTCTAAGACCTCAATTACACCACAGTAATTTTTATTTACAGACTGTCAGGGCTTTAGTACCGAAAAGAATCTGATGTTGTTTCATGGTATTTTATTAGGAAATAAATTAATCAACTTTTCTTTTAAAATTAAATAGACAGATGAGTTTCCTAGTGACTCAATGTAGTCATTTCTATTCTTAGTTTCTCTACATTAAGAATATTAGGACTTCAATGATTATCATAATAGAAAAGTTATATATGACTAATTATAACTTTTATGATACTTTCCTAAAATAAATCATAGTGAATAAGAGGTAGACTTCTGAATTCAAATCCCAGTTCTAGCATGTTCTAACGATGACTTTGTGCCACCTATTTAATATCTCCAAGCCTCAATTTTCTAGATTTAAAATGGGGGTAGTATTTGTATTTTGCTAGTGAAATTGCATGTGGATTAAAGTAGATAATGCCTTTGAAGGTACAAAGTATTAAATTCAGATCTGACCCTGAGGACAAACTGATAAGGCTGCTGGAACCCAAAGTAGTTAAATGCAGGTCACTAGCAGAACCAGAGTTAGAGCTCGTATTTTCTAATATTGCTCTCTTTAACCAAAGAACATAAATCCATTTTTGAAAACAATGTCCAGAAAAGATTAAACTCTGTACTTAAGTTTGTAGTTTATTTTAATTTCCGTCATGAACTTTTTTTGAGAAAGCAAGGAACGCTCTGACCTCTACACCAAACAGAATAATATAGTTTGTTGAATCAGCCCATCATTCTATCACATGGTACAGAGCCCCAGGTCAAGGGATGAAAGACATCAGTTTGCATCAGACAACAGCTACTGTCTGTATTCACAGTACAACATGGGAGAAACTGGCTACACCATCATTTTATAGCAGGTGGATTAAAGCATGTCTTAGTAAGACATACAAGCAGAGAGGGGCTGAATTCCCTTGATCTCTCTGATAAAAGCCGCACCATGTACTGTGGACACCCAATAAATATTAATTGGTATCAACTCAGTGGACATAAAACTTTTTTGATTTTGGACATTTAAGCAGAGTATCCTCTTTGGTAAGAAATAATTCAGTCAGCATACTTCTTGAGTTCTTAACTCTTATATCTCATCGTGCATCTTTCTAGAAATACTTCAAACTCAGGATAGGATCTAACGCACCAGTCGAATCTGTACTTAATCTGTGTTTTTACATCTTTCTTTGTGTTTAATACATCTTTCTTTATCTCTTGACTTCAATGGGAATTCACCTTTTGTAATTTCATTGCAAGATTATTACACTCTGGTTCCATTATTTGACTAACCATGACGTTGCTTCCTTTTTTCTTCTTCAGATATCGATGAGTGTGCTGCTAAGATGCATTACTGTCATGCCAATACTGTGTGTGTCAACCTGCCTGGGTTATATCGCTGCGATTGTGTCCCAGGATACATCCGTGTGGATGACTTCTCTTGTACGGGTGAGCATTAAAAAGCAACGTTGTCTTTTTTCTGATTTGTCCATTCTCTGTACCTTGTCTGTGCTGTTATATTAACTTCCTGGTGCATAGGAAATAGTTCTATTTTTTTACACAAATAGTTCTCATTATTTTGTCCTTACCTTTTGAGTACAAGCAATAATAAAAAAAATTATCTACATAATTGATTTCCACTCCAGTATTTCTGCCTGTATGTATGCGTGCATTTGTGTATGGGTGTATGGTTTGAAATTGAAGTCCCAGTTGCCAATAGTAACACCGAGAGACTTAAAGATATCAGTTCTAAAATCAGAAAATATTAAACTGTTTTTCTTCTATCATGATGAAATGTTTTTGTAGATAAGAAAATGTGTTTTGTTCCCGTTGGGAATGACAAGGATTAAGTTTAAAGGCTTCACAGGAGCATTTGATGCTAAAGGATTGCGCATATGAGAGCCAGTCAAGAGTATTTTGATTAATGTGGGCTTATTGCCCATTTCCCTCCTCTTCTCCCTATGTTACTAGGTTCAGCATTGCAGTGGGCATTGCCTTTCTGTGAGCAGAGCTGGTTTTGTGGGTCAGTTGGCTTGGGGCTCCAATATATTTGCAATCATGTGCATATAGACATGCATAGTAGATTGCTTAAGGGTGGCAGAAGTTCCCAAGTTTTTCTCCTTTTGGATCAAATATGTTTAAATGCCCAATTAACAACCTATAAGCAAAGAACCCCTTGAACCCAAAATTTTAGTCAAGGTGTACTTTCCCTGACTCCTGTGTCTTTCTTTTTGTTCATGACATTGACCTACAAAAACTTCATTTTTTTTATACTCAGAAAGTAATGCCATTCTTTTCTTAATATAATTTTTTGAATGACCTTTTCAGAAGTTCAAAGAGTTACTAAATTTAGAAAGACATGAGAGGTGTTATGGTCAGAATTGTTTGCCATTGATTGTCGTATATTTATAAGTTATTATTCTTTAAATAAAGAGCCAAAGAGCTCAGTTTGATGCAGGTTTCCAAGGACCATATAATGTTAAATCTCATTTACTTATCATGTATGTGTTATAATTAAAATTCCTAGGAAAAACAAGAGACAGCTTGCATAAACGTAGCATACTGGGATCTAAATATTTTAAGAGGTCAAACCTCTTTTGAATTCATAAACAAACACAATCTAAAAAGCTATGAAGCCATAGGTGACTATCACTCTTCTCTTACTAGTAAACTCAGCTCCTATTTTAACCCTAAGATTAGAAGAAGCCAGTGAATATCTTCTTCCTAACTCAAGGATACCAAATTATGCAGCTCAATAAACCTTAATTAAAGCTCTGCTGTATGGAAGGCCTTGTTGAAATTCTATCAGAATGCTTACCTCTGCTCTGATTTTCTCACTGAGGAAGGAAGGCAAGAGCTGGTGCTTGTTGAATGCCTATTAAGGATAGATGCTCTGACTGGTGGATTAAATATGGAATAAGATGGAAAATGTATAATCATAAGAACTGGCTCCAGAATTACTTTTAGAAAGAGAACTGTGTTGTGTAGAACACAAGGCATGGGTATCAGGGGGAACCCAAGCACTCCCACCCTACACAAAAGAGTATATAGCTCTCAGGGAAAATCTACGTCATGCACACACACTTTGGGGTGTGTGTGTGTGTGTGTGTGTGTGTGTGTGTGTGTGTGTGTGTGTGTGTGTGTATTTTGTCTAAGAAGGAACACAAAAGAGAAAAAATAGGGAGGGGAGAGGAAGCAGTCAGAGAGCAGAAGGCTAGGTGCTGTGGAGAACAGAAGACTGGTGAAAACCACCCAGTGAAAGGATAGCTGGAAGTATTTTTAAAATAAGGGATAGTTAAGGTGAGATATTTCCATTATTTTGCTATAAAGTTTGCAGTGTGAGTTTTCCTCATGGCTCTCAAATCTTTGGTAAAGTCTATCCACCACAAATGCCGGAATTCTTAATGAGAACTGCCCCCTTTCTACCAATAGAATAAAAGTTAACATGGTGGACAATGGTAATGATACATGTGCATATCTGGGACCATAGGGGCAGAAGTAACCGTCACAGAGTAATCATTTCTATTCCTTCTTCTGTACTTCCCCCAACATGCATTACTAATATCTACATATCTATCAAGACTACCTCCTCTCAGAAATTTCACAAATTCTGGTGAGGATTTTGGACATCCATAGGTCATACAATGTGTAAGAGTTATTTCTATAAAAAGCTTTTCTTTGATCCCAGATTTCTTCCAAATGACTGTCCCTATTTTTCTGCTTCTCTTTATAGAAAAATCCCTCAATATGTCTGTGATAATTGTCCTCATTTACACTTGCTTTACAGATCCTCCTCAACTCCATTCAGTCAGATTTCTATACTCACCATTCTGCAGAGACTACAATTTTCAAGGGCATTCATGAACCACATTTTGCTAAATAACAATGTTCTTATCTCAACAGCATTTAGGAGAGCTGACCATATCTTCCTTTTTGAAACACTTTTTTTTCCTAGCTGTCGTGACATTGTCCTTCATGTTTTTCCTTTGGTGTCACAGGCCACTCCTGCCCAGTGTTCCTAGCTGTTCTGCTGCTGCTGATATTTGAGAAGTTAGAGTACTCTAGGTATCTGCCCTGCTCCCCTCCTCCCTGTTACCTACAGAGTGTTTTTTATTTTTTTATTTTTTTTATTTTTGAGTTGGAGTCTCACTCTGTCGCCCAGACTGGAGTGCAGTGGCCGCTCCTGGTCACCGCAGCCTCGACCTGCTGGGCTCCGGCGATCCTTCTGCCTCAGCCTTCCGAGTGGCCAGAACTACAGGCACGCACTACCATGCCCAGTTGATTTTTTTTTATTTATTGTAGAGATGAGGTCTCGCTGCCCAGGCGGGTCTCGAACCCGCGGGCTCAGGCAATCCACTCACCTCAGCCTCCCAAAGGCGCGGGTTTACAGGCTGAGTCACCGAACCCGGCTACAGAGTGTTTTTTAAAAGTCTTCATTAATCATAGGACCTTAACAACATCTCTAGATCAATCACTACCAAGTTTCTCTCTCATTTCCAGTCTTTTTCCTGTACATCTGAATCATGTATTCAACTTGACATCTGCACATAGATGTTTAATAGGTATTTCATACTTTACATGTGAAAAACAGAACTCCTGATTTCCTTCCACTCCTGCAAACCTTCTGGTTTTCCAATTTTCTCCATCCCCAAAAAAGCACCATCTACCCAGTTTTCCAAGTCAAACATTTAGAGATGACTCATTTTCCTCCTCAGGGGTTATACCGGATCACCCACTTGTCTTTTTAAAAAAATATTTTAAAGACGTGCGGTAGAATTCAAGATTAGGTATACAAGTGGACATCATACAGTTTGGGCCTCCATTTGGTCCCCACTTTGCCTGGTTTGAGATCAGGTACCCTTTTTAATATTATGGGCCCCCACCCCCGCCCCAGTAGTATCCCGCTACTGCCAATTCCTTTCTTATAGTATTATGGTAAATGTTCAGGGTCCGCTTATGAGTGAGAACATGTGGTATTCTGTCCTTTGTTTCCGTTATAGGTCACTGAGTATGATAGATTCTAAGTCCATCCCAGTTGCTGTGAAGTCCATATGTTTGTCCTTTTTTATGGCTGCATAATATTCCATCATGTACATGTACCACATTTTTTTATCCAGTCCAGTTTTGATGGGCAGCACAATTACTTCCATGTTTTTGTAATTGTGAATAGTGCTGCAATAAACATGTGTGTGTAGATATCTTTTTGGTACAATGATTTGAGTTCCTCTGGGTGTATTCCCAGTAGGGGAATTGCTGGGTCATATGGAAGGTCACTTTCTAGTTCTATTAGAAATTGCTACACTGTTTTCCATAGAGGTTGAACTAGTTCACTTTTCTGTGCATTCTCAACAGCATCTGTTATTTTCTTTTATTAATGATGGCCATTCTTACTTATTCATTTGTCTTGTTGGTACACCCTATACCCTGTTCTACTCTGTCCACTTATGTCCACATCCTCTTATTATCCTAATGACTTTGGCCATGGCCATCATACTAGACTTTCTGCTCTAGTCTTGTTCTACTATAACTTACTCTTCACACAGAAGCCAGAGAAAAAAATTTTGTAATAAACATTATACAAATATGCTTAAAACTCTCATGTAGTATCTCATTATGCAGAAAACAAATCCCTACTTTTTATTTTTATACATAACCCTGCGTGATTTTCCCCCTTTCCTCTCTATCTTGTACCACCTTCCTCCTTGTCTTCTATGGGGTGACCATCTTGACCATTGTCTTTTTCTCCATTTAGCACAATTCTTTCTACTTGTTAAGACCCTTCCTTGCATGAGCTGTTGCCCCTTGTTGGAAACTCTTTCCTTTTGATAGCTGCATAGCAGACGCTTTCTTTCTTTTTAACAAATTTTATACATACTATTTCTTAATTATTTTATTTTATTTTACTTTTTTATTTTAAAGATGTGAGCAGGCTATCTCTTTTCTTTCCACTAGAATGTAAACTCTGAGAGCAGGGACTATTTTCCTTTTGTTTTCTATTTCTCTACTTTTTCTTTTTGTATCTTGACTACTTAGAACTATACCTGGCACATAGCAGTGCTCAATAAATATTTGTTGAATGAAATAACGCATGTCTACCTAACCCTGAGTAAATTTTGTACTCTTCAAAACTTTATTTATAAAATATTACTCATATCTGTCATACCTACAGGTTAGAGTGGAACATCCAATAATGTAACATATGTGAAAATATTCAACGTGGCAATTTTTATCAGTCAAGATAGGATGTTCTGCAGTAACAACAACCCTAACTATGACAGACTTAAAATAACAGTTTTATTTCTTGCTTATGCTATTTGTGTACCACTGATTTGAGAGGGGCTCTGCTTACTATAATTATTTTGGAATACAAGCTGAAAAAATAGTTTCCGTGCTGAACATAGCCAGTCACCAAGTTGGGGAAAAGAGATCCTGAAGTATCCTCCAACAGC